AATAAACAAAAAATTCAGGGGTAAAATTTAGGTTTCACAAACAAATAATCGCCATTTTCTCAAAATAGAAAACCCCCTTCAAAGACTAGTCTATTGCTCATATAGTCTTTCAGCCTTCTTCTCTAGAGTTCGAAAAAGATAACGGACAACCAACTGATACACATTGGGGAATTGTATATCCATTTTTATTCTACCCAGAATATGATAACAAATAAAACTGAATCATAATTAATGTTGTAGTTTAGATGATTGGATATATGGAAAATTTATATAGATACCAACATGTAACCATATATAAATTTAGTTCTTTTGATTGATTTTTACAATAAATAAAGAATGTTGATGCAATTTTTACAAATATTTTTTTCGTGTGATTAACCTTTTGAATATATCTAATTTTGTAATAAAACAATATCGAACGATCATTTAACAATCAAAATTTTGAGAAAATTAAACTCTAGGCTTGCATCCGAGATTACTGAACTTAGAAAAGAAAATGCCGATATTAAGGCTAAAAATATAAAATTAAAACAAGCTATAGAAGAAAATGCTATGCTCAAGTTCAGATTCGAAGAACTAGAAAGAAAAATAAAATAAATACTGCTAAGCTTACTGCCGAAAATGCTGAACTTAAAGATAGAGTGACAAAATTAGAACAGAAGCAGACCCAAGTCGCTACTAATTAACAAGAGGAATCTTCTACAAAAAATATTTTGCAGTCTACAGCTTGTTCAGAATTATTAGTAAACACCCAGATTCAGACACAAAGTACTATTTTTCCTGAAATAAAAAATGAGCAAAAAGAATTATTATCTATTCCGTCGTCTATTGAAAAGGAAAAAAACATTACTTCTAGCTTGACAATACCTGAATCAATAATAGAACCTGAAACATCCAAATCTTCTTTATTGCAAGATACTATCAATAACGACTCAATTGAGATTCTTGAATTTGTAGAAACGATACATAAAGAAAGAATTAGTAATGAAATAAAGAAAAAAAATAAAAAAAAGAAACTTCAAAGTCAAGAGCCAATGCAAAACACCTCTTTCCCTTCTGATATGCAAAATGAGGTAAATCCTGTTATCAACCATAAAATTACCCTATCAGAACCAATGCTTACTAATCAAGCAGAAAATACCGAAATAAAAATTCCATACAACAAAAGAGTAGAGCAAGTCTTAAGACACGATTTATCTGTATTCATTAAAGAAAATAATAATAAAGTTAGTGAAGTATTTGATATACAAATTCCTAAATTCTCACTAGAAGCAATTATAGCAGAATCTAGCAAAATTACAGCACAAAATATAGCTGATTTATTTGTTATAGCAATGAAAGTTAGACAAAAAGAGATTTTATGCTGGTATTGCTACTATAAAACATATGAGGATCGAATCGAAGACATTAAACGTATAAATAAAATTGATGACCAATCAGCAAGAACATTAGTATATAATGAGATAAAAGCACTTCTT